TAAGGCACCAGCCACATACACCAGAGCTGGCAGGTTCAAATCCAGCCTGGGCCTGCCTAACAACAATGACAACTACAGTCAAAAAATGCTGGGTGTTGTGGTGGGCACCTATGGTCCTAGCTACTTGAGAGGTTGAGGGAAAGAGTATCACTTAAACCCGGGAGTTAGAGATTGCTGTGAGCTGTGACACCACGACCCTCTAACCAGGGTGACAGATTGAGGCTTTGTCTAAAAAAAAAAAAAGTTAATCTCCTAAATCAATTACCCTAAACTTCTTAAGACACACAGACCCAGGTTAACCTGTTTACAAAACAAAAATGAGAGAGATGAGTTAAAGTTCACTTAGGACCTAAACTGACCAGACCAGCTGTGTCATGTCAGCCCCTGCCTGAATAAATCTATCTTATCTACATGTGCTCTCAATATCAACTTTGCCAATAGCATCTACTTGTACATTTTGAGTGTGGTAGACACTCACCTAATTCATTCAAATGTAAGAGGAAAACAGTCTCACACTTCCCCCACCACCTTAAGCTGCAAAATGTTGCTTAGTGATCTAACTAGTTATCAGACAAGTCATGTCCACCTCCCTTGAGTGGACATGAAGGCCATAGTGACCATGAGCAGGAGAGGAGATAAACAACCCACCTGAGAGCACATGTGGTGAAAATGAGATGGAGTCAGTCAGGCCAGGGCCTACTGGCTCAGCTGGTCTGGTCAGTTTAGGTCTTATGTTCAAAGGCCAAATGGAGCCTAATTTGCACTCTCTTTCCTCCTGCCCTTCAACAGCCCCTTCAGCATGCAGGCCTTGTGGAAATAGGCTGTTAAACAAACATATCCTGCAGAGACAGGGGATTAGCCCAGAGTTACAGCAGACCCTTGTAAAACCACATTCCTATCCTCAGTACCCCCCACCCATCATAACTAACCAACCCCCAACCCTGCAAATCTAACCTTGTGAAGTCTTGCTCTTCTCTCCCACCACAACTAAAACAAACTCATAAAAACTCCCTTCTGTTGTCATGTTGGTGCTGAGAAATTTGAGGTGTGAAAACCCTTCTTGTTAGATCAGCCAATAAAGAATCCCATACCTAATTTCACTGTGACCATTACCCAATGTCTTACATTCTTCTTGTTTTGTAAAATTACCCAATGTCTTACATTTTTCTTGTTTTGTAAATTCAGCTTTAACCTACAGTTGTGTACATGAGTAGTTTAGGGTGATTGACTTAAGAGACTAACTTTCCACCAGAATGTTTTTATATGGGTCATGGTTTATGTCAATTATTGTATGTTATGGTCATGGGTATGGTGATTACTGTTGTTGAAGGTAAGTGTTAATTACTGTTGTAAGATAAGAGTTGATAGGTTCTTGCATTTAACTTGTATATATGAAAGTGTGATTTTGGAAATGGAAGAACAGAACAGTCTTGGAGACCCTACTCTCACTGTTCACCAGAAGTGCTAGACTTCTGATAATAAAGTTTGATGGACCTATCCTCATTTCTACATATTGGCTGACAGTGACAGGCAGCTGGATCCTCTTTGTCTGGTGTGCAGCTTGGGCAAGTAACAAACACTGAGCCCTTCAGATAGAGCTGTGAGGACTAGATGGAGTACAGCTGAAGATAGTAACTTTAGGGGAGGGTATAAGGA